ATATTAAACAGCTTTCCTAAGAATAGAAGGAGCTAATATTATATATATATATATATATATATATATGTGTGTGTGTGTGTATGTGTGTTTTAAGCGCTGACATCTTTAGCCTTAGCCTTACTCTTCTGAAATATAAAATGGAGGAGCGGCAAATATGATCGCGTTCAATTATACGGAAGTGAATATTTGGCGGATATTCGCGAAGAGCCACACCTTGGTTAAACCAGATATCTCATTTGTACAAGTAGTAATTTTCATATAACGTTGTAAATATAGATGTTTTACTTCGTTTTAGTCCATTTTATCGATTGAAAAAAAAAAAAAAAACAAAATAAAAATTGTACCGAAGTATAACTGTAAGTACTAAAATCTTTATCATACGAGAAATTATCAGATGACGTCATATACTATTTTAACCCTAGCTTCCTGTCAGGTAGAGATAGCGAGTTCTCTTTTTCGCATTTTTTTTTTTTTTTNNCAAAAAAATTTTATTTTTTAAAAAAAAAAAAAAAAAAAAGAAGAAGAAACTTACGTTAGAAATTATCTTAAACTTTATCAAGATTTTATTATTAAATCGATTATCGATCGATTATCATCATTTCGTTAGGAAAGAAAAAATTAATTTGAATGTTTTATATATATATATATATATGCGTATTTCATTACGTGACGTAACGTTTGACGTGTCGTTTGGCTACAAATGATAAGATAAAAAAAAACATTTAGAAACAACAATGCAAAAATTTCAATGTTTGTAACGATCACGTTTACGCTCATGATCAGCCGGCTACCGATCACCAAGTCGCCAATCGATCCTCGTGCCTTGTTTCATTTCAACCTAGTACATATCACGGTAACAGTAATTGACCTATTCAACAGCGGATTGTAAATGGATGTGGAAGTAGAACACCTACCGGTATACATGTATTTCCTACATTGTAGCGAAAGAATGCAACTTGCTTTGCTCGATATTCTTCCCTCAATATTAACGATATATTGATTTTAATTAAAAATTAATTGGAGAAGAGAAGAAAAAAAAAAAAAGAACGTCGATACTAAACGATAAATTATCATTTCATTAATTTCGTGGTAATTTCATTTAGGAAACATTAGCCTGTTTGGCTTTTAAATATTAACTCGATCCTCGTTCATTCTCTGTTTACAAGTCTTGCTATACCGTTTATATAAGAGATGGTCTACACACAAATTAACCATATTAGCAGGAAACGTATGACAATATTAGGTCAAAGTTTAATTTCCAAAATTGAAACTGCGAAAAACAAGTCGATTCGTTGAAATTGATTACGTTTAAAAAAATTGAATCATTCATCCGTTATATATATATATATATTTTTTTTAATACGATCAATGTTCATAAAGATTTTCTTCTTTTCTTTTTAGATAATTTGTTTTACGCTTCAGTTATTTTGGATAATTTTTTTTTCTTTTTTTAATCTAATCAAAAAAGAGAAAAACAGAAAAGAAAAATTAAACAACTCTTCTTTCTCTCGTCTCGTCTCGAAGACAAGGAAGCATCGACAATTTATACATATATGCCGGCAAAACTGGTTCTCCGGAGAATGAATCTTCCTGTTATTCCTTCGAACGAGTCACGTGTTTTCGTTTGATATCGCGTTGAAAAAAAAAAAAAAAAAAAAAAGAAAAGAAAAATCGATCGTCGAATTCCGTTAAAATTATTCGATGAAAATGTTCGTTTTATCACAACCACTCGATGATGAAATTAATGAAATACATGATATCGATCGATCATCGATATTCGATGAAGAATCGTGAATCGTGAAGGACACTTTCCAAAATTCGCTTACATCCGATCATTGTTATACGTGTACGTACAACACGAAAACAGATTCGATTAGGTCCTCTCTCGTCTTTGAGAACAATCGAGGAATTACATACGCGTATATACGTATGTAGTTTCGATACGAGATCGTCATCCTCTGAATTCTCGATTATCCTTACTAGGTGTTATGAAACAGAAACCAATCAGTCTAAAAAAAAAAAAAGTCAACTAAGCAAATAGTTTTGAGAACCTCTTTTCACGGAACAATAGCATGCCAGTTCGTGTGACACGTACAAGCTCAAATTACGGTTTGATAAAGAAAAAAAAAAAATAAGTAATTGCTTAAAGCTATTAGTACGTAAACGTTTTTATAATTAATATAATTTATGCTGTTTCACAATAATAAATAATAATAATTGATAAACAGTTAAACTCAAGAAATAGAATTTTACAAATGGTGAAAGGAACAAAATGGTTTCTACCCTCTAGAATGGAAAACGACGGGAGAAAACTACCTTGCTCTCGAAGGTAAGAAGGGGAAAAGAAAAGCAGGATTTACCCCGGTAGGATGTAGGACCCTGTTCACAGAATGGAAAGGGAATAGAGACGATGACTACAAAGGAAAAAGGAAAAAATCTTTGTGAAGAAATCTTTCGAAAACCAGTTCAGAGGATTGTACCTGCGACGGATGGATGGATGGATGGATGTGAGAATCGGTCTATTTTATAAATACCATCTGCCACAAAAGGAGAATAATTTAATCCCCTTTCATTGGTTATGGATACAATGTTAAATTAATCGTGCATACAACTCGAGATAATTAAGAAATCGAATGACATCATTTCTTATTCAGACGTTCATTACAAAGGCTGCATGTTCGCCATTATTATATTAATCAAGCGATTTCTTTTCCCCTTTGCATCCAATTTATCTCTGTAAATTGTTATGAAGCAACGTGAACATATTTTCTTAAGACTAACCTTAACGAGTAAGGATCCATAGCTGGTTTTTATGCCTCTCGTTCCAACGATACAACGTATATTTATCTATTCCTCCCTCTTTTTTTTTTTTTAATTAACGCTTTAGTCAATTTGATCTTTTCTAAAAGGTATCCTCGTCAACTCGAAGCGAGGATCTCGTACTTGGCCACCATTTTACGTTATTCTGAAAAAGAAAAGATGCGAAACATCAAATATAATTTTATTTAAATTATTCGTATATACATTCCCGGTTGCACGAAAGGATAACGATAATCGAACGTCACGTGGAAGACGTGGTTCGCTTGCATAATTCTCCGCGCAATACACATATCGTGGGCACGAACCAATATCTCGAAGGAGATCATAAAATACTCTAACACAATTACGCGATAATTTCACAGTTGCGCTCACAGCAGAATATTGACTTTCTATGTCGAACGCAACGATACTTTTCACCTTCTTTCGTAGAAACGTAAAATAGAACATACACATATATACGTACGTGTGCACCGCCCTGAGGAAAATAACTTCGCGAAAGTTCCTCGAGCATACATCGTGACGTTCACTGTATCATTAGATCAACGATTATTTTCCGATTATTTTTCTACGAAATGATTAATCGAGGCGAGAAATATTCCATTCGAATGAAAATATTCGATTGAAAAAACGAAGCTTGTTAAGCTTATTATATATTATAGAAAAGAAATTATCTCGTTTGACGACCAACCCTTGAACGATAATAAACTCGACTCAAGGAGAATCCCGATTAAATTGTTTTACGGCACGCAGCTGTAGAATTCCTCTCGAGTAAAACGAGGGAAGGGGAAATCAGTTGTTTGTGAAATTGTTTTTTTCCTTTCTAATCGCTGAAAATCTATTCTTCCTTGAGCGAAAAATTGCAACGAGATCAGGAGTTAACAAGCACGACACGATTCTTGAAATCGTTTGATACTGAATCACGATCAAGATAGTTTAGAGTTTAAGCACGATTGCATAAGAGATTCACGTGCCGAAGCCCGTCACGTGATTTACAATTAAGGACAGATATGTCGATAATTATTTGTCGTGCAAGGGCATACACAACTGGAAATTGACGAATATCTATCAAATCTATTATCTTTGAGAGGAAATTAAGTGTTTTATTTAATTATTTAATGAGTAAACGATGTTTGCGACACTTATAGAAATTATCAAAGATTAATTGTCAATTTTAAATCAAATAATATATTAAAATAGATTAATTTTACAAAACTCTTTATCTACTTTAATCATCGATTAGACCATCGAGTAAACGAAACAAGATAATCCACGTATGAAACCGTTACGTGAAAATTTATCTTTTTCTAAAAAATGTGATAAAATATATAGCAATTATTTTTAATTTTTCGTCGTATTTTTTTTTTTTTTTTTTTTTTTTTTTNAATTTTTCGTCGTATTTTTTTTTTTTTTTTTTTTTTTTACACTTAGACTTTTACAATCAATACAAAGGTAAATTTCCTTCGGTCGTTTTAAATATAAATTCTGAACAATTCTCACCTATTATTCGGTTGCTATTCATTCAAATGTGAAACGACGATGATTCGATTTGAAACGTGCACCAGGTCAGATCAAAGATCGGAAAATAAAATTGGATACGCGTTATGTTAAGCGTCAAACGCACGATTTATAAATGCACGATATAATAAAAATTACGTCATTTACACGTTTAAATCATTTGTCGATATCGAAACACATTTACGTTTATAACCATTATGATAACGTCGTTAGCTCGTAAACTCGTATATGTATGCTTAGAAAAAATTTTCAAAGTAAAAACAAAACAAAGGAACCTGGCACGATTCAAAGGAGAGAGATCGTTCTGTATATTTTGGACGATTCGAGCATTAGGTTGATTTAACGACAAATGTTATTTTCAACGAAAATTCGAATTAGAACTTACATAAAAAATTTCTACTTCTGATCGATATAGAAAGAATATATTTCTTCGAGAAACGAAGCTTCACTAATTATTTAGAGCCTTGTATATGTTACTCGTAGTATCGAAATAAGTCACTGTCACATGGTATCTATTTTTGTAACGATGATCGATCGTGTTCACGTGTGAAATGTTCATAACGTTCAGAGTAACTTGAACTTCCTTGAACCTTAAGAACAAAGATTGTTCTCGAAAGCGGTTCTTCGCTTGGTTAAAAACACGGATTTGCCATGTCTGACTTTCAATGAGGGGACTCGTAATAGGCGAGTTTCAGCTCTTGGTCGATTTCTTCGACCCGTACTCGAGCCTGACTGCCTTTCGGTCAATCCTATTCGCAAAACCACGAGAACGGAAGGATCGATCAAAGAAAAGTCAACGACTGCATTCTGTACCTTCGTGCTTCTCTGTCATTTATTACATACATCGGATATTTCTATAATAATGAATAGTTTATAACTCGACAAAAATTTCGTACCTTCTTCGTTTACTTACGTTCAGATACATCGATAAAACATCTCTGGCGTAAATATAATAGCAAATTTACATGTACATTAAGCAAGCATAAATTACTCACCTTTGACTTTCAACTTTTTCTTCCTCTGTTTTAAATTCGATTCTGAAGCGTCGATAAATTAACCAGATGGATCAAAATTGAATTAAAATTTTGAAAGAACTCGAACGAGAACGCCTCTTTCTTTGTTTCTTTCGTTTGTTAGGTTAATTTCTCTCTCTCTTTCTCTCTTCCCCTTTCTGTCAGTGGAACGAAGCAGAAGTCTCGTCCTCCGGATACAAACACCTCGCGACGTGCAGTGCGCGGTGGCCGGTACGCGACTAAAGGCTGGGCACGCTTGCCTTGCGGGTCGGTCGATCGTATCTTCTCGACGTTGTCTGTTTTCTGTGTCGGTATATTGCTGGTGACAAAGCGAACAATTTAAGGGTTGCTAACGCGTCTAGAAAGCACAGCACCGTCTGTTAAATGCTCAGCACACACAATATGACAGTATGATACGAAGTATACATATATTGTTGGACGATGACCTATTCACACTCGAAACGTTCAGTCGATGGGCAATACCGAGGCTCATGGCGTGATTCTAATGGAGGAAACCTTTCGTTCGAACCTCGCGTTCCAACTTCGAGAATAGAACTATTCTAACCGTGATCATATATTATTTTGAAGAATGAAATTTATACAATCTCTATAAATGAAATCAATTTCAATCGTAAAAAAAATAAAAATATTTTTCGGATGAATTTACTTGGATTAATTTTTTTTCTTTTTTTTTTTTTTTTATCTTGAAAAATTTATTATTTTGAAAAATCAAACAACAATCCGACTCACCAAATATCCGATATAGGAATATGTATGTAGTTCACGTGTACAGCAGCATGTATTACGAAAACAACAATGAGTAGAAGGACGTGCGAATCACGTGGACAACGAGAGAGATTTGCTGGTTGTATGGTGCACCGTATACGTAAATTTTTCATAGATTTATCTTTGTGAAGCTTGATAGAAGGGGAAATTCGCGAAGCGACCGAGTGTCTCGAAAGAACATGTAAAATTATATTGGGAAAGGCTCGCGGTCTTTAACCCATTTCTTCAGGGCCACCTTCTTGATGAAATCTGTAGGTGTACGTACGATGTAAACATCCAAAATGGGAAATTACAGTTAATAATAATAATAATTTTATTGAATTTTTTTTCATTAAATTATATCTAATCGATGTGACTTTCTCGAATTAATGCGTCGCAAACTTTCCTTATGTTATTGCGCGAGATAGATTGCGATACATACTTGAGTCTTAATCAAAAGAAAAAAAAAAAAAATACTAAACATGTTGTTTTTCTATAAGATATCTAATAGAATCATAAAAAAAGATAAAAAGAAGAGTTCTGCGTGTTGAAAAGTTATCAATTATAAGTCATAATATCTTTGAGTGAATAATTAGATAATATTTTATTAGACAATAATAGGCTCGTTAAAGAATATAAATATCGTGTATCCCAACCTACGTTATGTATCATATAATTTACGGGTGTTTAGTCGAGTCATTGTTATAACATATCCTTGTTATCTTTCCGACAAAGTAACAAATACTTATCATTGTTGCAATGTTCTTGATGTTTTTTTGTGACTACCAATCGATTCTATAACACCAGTTAATACTAGTGTTGTTATGTATCATGTACGACGCGTCGAATGTGAAAATCTTCAGCAATACAACGCCAGTATTAATTTCACTTGAATCGATATCATTTATTCCAACGACTATATATGCACAAATTACTCACTCAGCTCTACATAAACGATCAAATTGTTCGAAGTGTGTTTTAATATTTGTTCTTTGCCAAATGATGAATATGCCGAATAAGTATTTCAGAATGTTTATTAATATTAGTATATTAATATTAATGATAACATAATTAATAATATTAATAGTAATATTATTAGTAATAATATTAATATAACTGCATTAAGACATTTATATCATATTATTGTATATAAATTAGTAATAAAATTTTGATTTTTCCAGTTTCTTTTAATTTTATTTTCCACCAGTTTTCGTTTTCGAACACGATTCACAATGATTCGCGAGTGTTTATAATTTAGAATCATTTCTTGAGTTCTTGAGTTCAATTACTTACTTAACCCAACTTCATTGATATTAAACGTAGTTTATATTTTATATATATATATATATATATTTATGTGGCATCACGAAAGTTTCATTGCGAATTTTTTCTACTTACAGTTGCAATTATGTTTAAATATAGATTTTTTAGAAAGATTTTTTAGAAAGAAGATTGAACTTTTTATTTTTTATTAGTTAATTTATAATGCAAAACATATTTTTTCGAATTTTATTTTTCGAATTTAATCTTTTATAAAAAAAAAATAAAATACAAAATATTAAATATAATTTCATATATTAAAATAAAAGAATTTATAATAAAAGCCATCAATCAAATTTGTTTGTGTAATTATTATAATGCTTAAGCAATTTTAATGCTGAGTAAAGTAGATTCTAAGTCAATGTGCAATTTAAATTTTCGCGGTTTACGAATGGTAGAGTACTGTCGATAAGTTAGTAAAGAAATATATCCATAAATACTTTGTTCTATATTGTAGTTCTAACCAAAATGGTCGTCTTGAGTAGACTCTTGTTTGTAAGAAATCAAAAGATCTCTCATAGAAATGGATTATTAAATAAATTAATAGAAAAAAATAATAATAATTACACATTTCAAAATCAAGGTGATAAAAATGATTGTATTTTATTTCGTATATGCAGTAGATCAAAAGTGATAGTGTTTTGTTATGCAATAAATTGTCGTACAATATATAAATTATATAGTTTGTTCGTTTATGGTTTTTTTAATAGTTTAAATTTTTTTAATGTTTTTAAATGTTTTTTTTTTTAAATATTAAAACTATTACAGTGAAATTATTTATAAATTTTACATTTTTATAATAGAATATATTATATATTTAATTTTATGATTTTTAGGGGCATTAAGATGGATGTCAAAACATCGAACTATGGAAATAACTGCAAGTCGTTGGCAGTGGCATAAAACTAAAGATTGGATGCACTTTTATTTCTTTGTAGGTGCTATACCTGCTGGTTTAATTATTTTTTTTACCAATATTTTTATAGGTCCTGCACAATTAGAACCAATTCCAGATGGATATATTCCAAAACAATGGGAATATTATAGGGTAAGATCCTATATACAAACATTTTAAATGTTTATTAAATAAAAAATTCATGCATGTAATAATTTTATAGCATCCTATTTCAAGATTTTTATCCAAATACTTTTTTCCAAATGAGCAAATGGAATATGAAAAACTTCTTCATAAATTAACAGTGGCTAACAACAAGCGATTAATATTTAAGTTAGAAAAACAAATACAGGATTTACAAAAGAAACATAATGATTATAAATATTGGTCATATAAAGAAAGTACAGCATCACAGATAATAGAACTAAGAAAAAAGCTTGATAAACAATATAATCCTAATGTAGTGAATGATATATAAGTTTGATCCTAATATAATTGAATGATATATAAAATAAATTATATGTATTTAAATATAAAGTAAATTTAACATAGGAAATAAAGCAAAGTAAAATAAAATAATTTATATTTAATTTTTAAATGATTCAATAACTTTCTAAGAATAATATATGGCATTTTGTGATTTTTATGACAAATAAGATGTTATCTATTCTATTCAACATATTTATTTTATTATATATATAATATAATATTTTATTATATTATATAATCTATTCTATTCTATTTTATTAATATGATTTTTTATTATCATAATTTTATAATCAAAGTTTTTAGAATAATTTCTACATATTTTTAATATAACTGATTCAATATTATTAGTTATTAATTAATAATCAATAATAATAAAAATTTATTAATTACATTAATATTCTCGCTCGCTATATATAAAAATATTTTTAAAATGATTCTAATAAATTGTAATAGATTAATAAAATTCTAAAATTAATAAACTATTATATTATATAAATATAAATAAGATATTAATAATATTAAAAATTTTAATATTTAAATATTTAAAAATATTTGTTTGGAATCGTCATTAATGATAGAATGTATTTAATTAATGATAGGATGTATTTAATTTTGCTTATTGAACTATATAGTATAGTATTGTAGATGGATGGGAAACTGTTATTATATCATTATCTACGAACGATAAATTGTATGATAATTGGTTGACTGATTTTTTTTAAATGTAACAAATATATCAGTATTTCGATTTGATATTTATATATTATTTTTTATTTCTTTTTTTTAATTTCATAATTTAATCTATAATCTTTTTATATATAATTTTTTCATATTTTGAAGATTTTTCAATTTTTCAATTTTTTAACATTTTTTAATTTTCAATTCTTTTTATTCAATTTTTGCTATTCTTGCGAATTTAACGAATATAGCGTTTTCATTCTTTTTGAAATCGATATATTAAAACATAATATATTATACTTGTGTTTGTATCTTTTGTTCATTTTTTTGCTCAAGATAAAGTAGATATCTGCATAAACATTCGTTATTATCTGCCCACTAGCGTTTAAATTTTGAATTAAAAGTTAAATTTTTTACTAGAAGTTTCAAAGTTTATTAGAAAATAATAAATAATAAGTAAGTAAAATTTATCTATTTATAGTAAAAAGAATGAATTGAAACGATTGTTATATAAGTTTAAAAGAATATATATTTTAAGAATTTGTTTTTAAGAAACTAATAGATTTATAAAAAAATTGCAAATCTTATCGTTTAATGGTAACGAAACATCTATTAAATACTTTTTATTCTATTTAAAGATCATAGCAGAAAAGTACTTTCATTTAATTTCTCCAATATTGTCATTATTTTATTTTCTTTAAATAAAAAAGTTGTAACAAATTGCTAACATAAATTGCAGACATTTCATTTTTTTCTCTTCAATTTTAATGACTGAATTTACTTGTAAGAGATAATAACCTAATTAATGTATGAATTTTTCAATTTGATGTTTATTCGAAAAATTATATCGTTGCTTATTTATTTTTTTCAACAAATCTCATCAAACATGTGATCAGATTATTAAATTATCTAATTAAAAGAGTTATTCTAATAAACTTTTAATCTGTCACGAAGAAAAATTATAAGAAAATTATAATGTAGCATTTTAAAGCAAAGATAATTTTTATATACAAAAAAATTTCGATTTTTGAAGTACAATATTTTACATTTAAAATATGATTATTCATGTTATAAAGATCGTTAATACATTGAAATTATGATATCATTTCTTTTATATTTATAAATACTTTTTAATCGATCCATCATGTAAATAAAATAAATTTGCATCACGTTGACAAAATAATAAATTTTAAAATATCGATTACAGATTGCTTTTTTAGGAACATTTTAACGAAGAGCTAAAAATCCTAATCCAATATAGATTATCAAACGAGTGATTATATGACTATTGTAATGCAACAAGTTAATGACACAACCGACATACGCCGATATCAATGCAACTCATGGTTAGTGGTCATTGCCAAGGTTGGATCGTGATATCTTGCATAATGCTTCGGTATTCTCTACGAATGCGATGAAGGAAGATACATTGCGGAAGACTTTGTACACGCGATTTCTATCAGTCTCGTCGTTGTTTCCTCACGCGAATCGATCTTCAATTATACTTCTGAGTTTTTTTTTTTTTCTCCATCGTGTCAATTACCCGCAACTCATGCGACACTGATTGCCTCTGATAATAATAATTCTATCATTCGTCTCTCGATTCTGACCTGCACAACTTGATTCTCATTGATTAATTTTTTAACAAAATTGTATCAAAATTTCCATGAAATATAGTATATATCAGAATTAGATTAGGACGAGATACGTATTTTAAATTACCTCGATATTATTTTCATCTGATCTATGATAAAAAATAATTAATATTAAACATTTTTTACATTCTTACGAGCAAAAAAATATTAAAAGCCTAAAATAATTTTTGTCCATTATGGACTATTTGTTGGAATACAAAAAAAAAAAAAAAATAAATAAAAATAAAAAAAAATATTGCTTCGTTTTAATCTGCGTCTTTTTATCGATTCATAGTGAATAACAACATAATTATGTATTTACAATTATATGATGCAATACCACATGTGTTTCAAGAGACCA